AACTTTCTAGAGAGAAAGGTTGTCGCCATTGTGTGGAAACACACAAACAGTCGGTCTCTTTGTGATGGGAGCCTAAAATAACCAGGTGACCTGATTTTCACCCTCTGTTGGGAGCAGAGGACCGTTGAGGGTGGAGAGACCGGGTCCTCTGTTTCCTGGTGACAATGTTTTCTACTCTGGACCCATTCTTTTCCTTCCTCTTTATCGTTGTTCTTCCTCATTCCTCAATCAAGTCTTTTGAAGGGGCTGGAAAGGAAGCTGGGCTGGCCGAGGACCTCTTAGACATTTTATGAACACAAACACACACACACACACACACACACACACACACCCTGAGAGAGAGGGAGGAGAGAGAAAGGGAGGACGGGAGGGGGGGGGAGAGAAATGCTAGAAGCAGGAGGATCAGAAAGTTCAGGGGTCATCTATGGCTACATAGCAATATTCAACCCAGGCTACAGTGAAATCCTGTTTCAAAAGAGATTGAAATTGTCCCATTAGAGTGAACTTGTAGGGTTGCTGGGGTCTGTGATTCTAGGCCTTTGAAGACAGAGGCAGGAGGCAGAGTTGAAGGCCAGCCTGTTTTTAAAAAGAATGAGGGATTTCCCATCTAAGTTGGCCCACTATTCTGCCTCATTCAATAGAGAATAGTAGGGGCTGGAGAGACGGCTCAGTGGTTAAGAGCACTGCCTGCTCTTCCGAAAGTCCTGAGTTCAATTCCCGGCAACCATATGGTGGCTCACAACCATCTGTAATGAGATCTGGCACCCTCTTCTGGCCTGCAGACATAAACACAGACAGAATATTGTATAAATAAATATTTTTAAAAAATAGAGAATAGTAGACACTTTGGGAGGTCTTTTACCAGATGCCTGCCTTTCTCTTAAGAAATTCCTAGGTTTTGCCGGGCAGTGATGGCACACACACCTTTAATCCTAGCACTCAAGAGACAGAGGCAGATGCTTCCTTGTGAGTTCGAGGATGGCCTGGTCTACAGAGCAATTTCCAGGACACCCAGAACTACACAGAGAAAACATGTCTCAAACAAAAGCAAAAACAAAACAAGAAAAAGAAATTCCTAGGCTAGTCGGGGCTCACCTGTAATCCACACAGTAGGGAAACTAAATTGAGATTTTGAATTAGAAGCCAACTGGGCTTCATAGCAAGACCTTATCCCAATGTATAAACAAACAAACAAGCACTCAAAAATTTTTACACACATCTGAAGTGAACCTTTCACAGCCGTGTTTATATGTGTACCTTTGCTCCAGGGCCTTGCTCATTGGGTCTGGGTGTAGATGACTCAAAGCCAGATCTGCATATTCTCTTTTCCAGGTTTTGAAATGAGGTTCCTGTAGTCCTTGTAGAGCTAACTGTCTAGGATACAGGAAATGCAGACCTGGCTCTGCCATTGGAGAGCTGGGTCAGTGGAAGCAGAGAGAGCTTTGAAGACCTGATGTGGTTCTCAGACTACAGATGAGGCTGGAGGAGGAGCAGACCCGGCAGGCTCTCCAGATTCTGTTTTCTCAGTTCAGGAAAAGTGGCTCTTGGGTCCCTTGGGACTCACCCTGAGCATGGCATATATCTACCTGAATTTAGATGCGTTTGAGGAACAATAAGGGACAACCTAGTCAGGCAGTGGTGGCTCAGCACTCAGGAGGCAGAGGTAGGAGGATATCTGTGAGTTTGAGGTCCACCTGGTCTGCAGAGGGAGTTCTAGGACAGTCAGAGCTACACAGAGAAACCCTGTTTTAGAGAGAGAGAGAGAGAGAGAGAGAGAGAGAGAGAGAGAGAGAGAGAGAGATTACATCCCCCGGACGAGTTGTTTCCTCAGGAAGGATGGAAGAGGTAGAGCAGGGCTTGCTCACTTCAGCCGTGTCTCTGAGGACCAAGGCTCTTTCCGTCAGTTGGCATTCACCATGCTGATTTACCATGGCGCTTGTTGTCTCGTGGTCACAGTATAGCTCCCATAGCTCCAGACATCTTGTCCTTCCATCACAGCATCAAGGAAGCCAGGAAGGAACCAGAAGGAAAGGGGCTCAGTCTTTGTTAATAAAGACAAATCTCTCCTACAGACCTCGCAGAAGGGCCTGCTGTGTCTGGATCCGGGTCGCTGACACCATACAAGGAAGGATGGAAAGGTGAAGGTGTGGCAAAGGTGAATTGGATTTCTGTTATTACCTTAGCCCAGTTATGAATCATGACTGGCAAGACTCTGCTCTGAGATCAAGGGTTTCCTCCCTGTACCCAAACAGAATAAGGAGGCAGAAGGGAAGGAAAGCTGGTGGGGTGTGTGTGTGTGTGTGTGTGTGTGTGTGTGTGTGTGTGTGTGCTGGCATTATTAGGAATACAGTACCCGCCACATCTTCACCAAACTTTCTGTGCCACTAAAGCTAACTTAGCTGTCTGCTTTTGGTGCTTGTCACCAGAAGACTCTTGAGTAAGACACTTGCTTAAGGGGGAAGTCTTCCCACAGTTGGGTACCTGTACCTCCAGCTGCACCTGCGCCTCCAGTTACTCTGCTATGCCTTAAGAATGAGCCTAGCTTTAGTCCATAAGCTCAGAGCCAGGGTGAGCATTACAGTGAGACTTTATCTCCTTTTTAAAACAGGCAGGGAAGCCACATTGTATCTCCAGTGATTGGGAGGTAGGGGTGGGAGGATCAGGAGTTCCAGGCCAGTGTGGGCTACAAGAGATCCTATCTTAAAGGGGGGGGGGGGAGGAGAGGGAGAAAGAAGAGGAAAGAGAAAGGGAAAAAATAAGCCTGGTGTAGTGGCACACACGTTTGATCCCAGCACTTGGGAGGCAGAGGCAAAAAGATCTCTGTGAGTTCGAGACCAGCCTGGCTGGCCTACAAAGAGAGTTCCAGGAAAAGTCAGGGATGTTTCACAGAGAAACCCTGTCTCAAAAAATAAAAATAGAAAGAAAGGAAGGGAGGGAGGGAGGGAGGCAGGAAGAGGGGGGGAGTAAGGGAGGGAGGGAGGGAGGGAGGGAGGGAGGGAGGGAGGGGGAGGAAGGAAGAAAGGGAAAATGGAGTGGAGTGAAAAGCTGAGGCTGGGGAATAGCTTAGTCTGTAGATCAGTAGAACATACATGAAGCCCTGAGTTTGATCCCTGGCATTGCAGAAACCATAGTTGTGCAAACGTGTAAGCTCTTGATTTGGGAAGTAGGATAAACAGAAGTTCAAGGGCATCTTTGTCTACTTAGCAGTCTGAAGCCAGCTTGAAATGTCTGAGACTCTGATCCCTAAGGGATGTGGAGGAGGCCAGGTAAGTAGGTGGGAGGAAATGCACCCTTCCCTTATGCCTCAGTTTATCTAATCACTTCAGGTCTCAGCTCCACACCATCTCTTCCTATAGGTTGAAGGGGTCCTGATCTATGAGCACATGTGCCCTCCAGGGAAGGGTGACATCAGGGCTTCAGCTTGGAGATCTGGTTCCTGCCTTTCTTCCTCTCCACCAGGACAGTGGGAAAGCAGCTTATGGACACAGATTCAAGCTTTCCGTAGGTCGACTGCCCCCGGACTGGAGCAGAGGTCCATAATTGTCCATCACATTCGAGTCACATCCTTTGGGTCACATCAGAACATTGTAAGGGTTAGATGTTTTCAGCTGACTTTACTTATTGTTTTAGAGTAGTTCAAGAAATGACTGTGCAGAGTGTCTACTAAAGCCTTGGACTCTGATTTTTTTTTTTTCCTCCACCGACGGCCACTGTTTGAATCTCTGTCACCTATTAATCCTTTAAGAGACCCAGTTTCCTCATTATCAAGGTCACACATGCAGAAAGTGAATAAGGAGAGGTTAACAGTGCTTGCAGAAGGACCCAAGTTCTACTCCCATAACCATACCAGGCGCCTAACGACCCATCTAAGTCCAGCTCTAGGGGATCCGACACCTTTTCCTGGTCTCCCTTCACACCTGCACACATGTGTGAACACACACACACACACACACACATGTCAGAATAAAAATCTTTTTTTTTAAGTGACTAGACCAACAGTTCTCAAAGGAATATCATGGTTAACTCACTTCCTTTCTCCCTTCCGCCTTCATTCGCTCCCCTGACTCCAACAACATTTCACATGGAGCCACGCCGTCCGTGAGCCTCCTGCCTCGGCTTCCCTACTGCTGTGGTTACAGATGAAATTGCAGATGCAATAAATGCAAACAGACAAAAACTAGTCCCAGAGAGGGCATTGGTATACTTAGAGCCTCAGCACTCAGGAGATGGACACAGGCAGATCAGCAATTCAAGATTATCCTCCTCTACAAGGCTACCCCAGGCTAGAAAGAGACTCCATCTCAAGACAAACACACAGAAAGTAGTGTTGTTTTAAGGTTAAAAACATAGTCTATTCATTATCAATAGGACGTGTGTGTGTGTGTGTGTGTGTGTGTGTGTACAGTATCTTAGATTTTCTTTTCTTTTTTTTTTATGTATTTATTATGTATACAGTGTTCTGTCTGCATATATGCCTGCAGGCCAGAAAAGGGCAGCAGATCTCATTACAGATGGCTGTGAGCCGCCATGTGGTTGCTGGGAATTGAACCCAGCCCCCAGATTTTATTTTCTTTATTAAGAACTTTCCAGAGGAGCCTGGAGAGATGGCTCAGCAGTTAAGAGCACTGGCTGCTCTAGCAGAGGACCTGGGTTCGATTCCCAGCACCCACACAGTAACACACAGGCTCATGTAACTCCTGTTTCTCAGGATCTGATGCCCTCTTCTGACCTCCACAGGGACGAGGCACACACAGGAAGAAGACATACTTGAAGGCAAAAGCATTGATCCAATCAAAATAAAGATAGAAAAAAAAATAAAAAGAACTTAATATACCATAAGACACCTAGTATAGAATGCAGTGTTTTTCAGAATACTTAGAGTTTCCCAACCATCACCATAATTTAATTTAAAACAGCCTCATCCAAACACTGTACACACTAACAGTCATTCCCTGTCCTACCTCCCTCTCCCTTGGTACCCCCTCATACTCTAGTCTCACCTAGGTCAATGAAACCACTCCTGTGCCTTCTGTCTTGGCCATTTTTTAGAAGCATCTGCATTTTCCTTAGGTGTGTCTTCTTGGACTAGCCCAATGCTTCAGAGTTTCTTGTATCCCATATCATGCATAGGTATCTCACTCCTTTTCATTGCTGAATAATATTGTTTTATGAACATCAACTCTTTTTATTCGACTCATCAGTTGATAGACATCCGAGCTGTGTCTCCACATTAACTGTTGTGATTATGAATATCTGTATACATGTTCCTGTGTTGATGTAGTTAGTCGGTTTCTCCTGGGTAGAGACAGAGGAACCGAATAGCCGGGTTATATGATGGCTCTTTTTCACCTTTTAAGGAGTTGGACAGCTATTTCCCAAAGTTGCTGCTGCATTTTATATTCCCACCAACAACATACAGGGTTCCGAATGTTCCATATTTCACCAGTACTTGTTACTGTCTGTCTCTGTTTTAGCCATCCTAACGTGTTTGATACTTGTTACTGTCTGTCTCTGTTTTAGCCATCCTAACGTGTTTGAAGCAGCATCTTATCGTGTTGCATGTTATCCCTTTGTCTGTCTGTTTCTTTTATGGGGTTTTTTGTTTGTTTTAGTGAGAGAGTCTTATTACACAGCCCAGGCTGTTGTGAGCTCACAATCCTTCTGCCTTGGCCTCAGTACAGGAATTACAGGCATTCACCACCATGCCTGGAAGTCCTCTATTTAACCTTCTCTTTTTAATTGCCCTGGCTAGAAGTTGCAGCTCAACTGTTGAATACAAACGGTGACAGGTGACCTTCCTATCATGTTTGTGATCTTGGGGGGGAAAAATCCAGACTTTCACCACTAGAGTAATTCCAGCTGTATGTGTTTTTTAAATGCCCTTTAAGGGGTTGAGGGAACTCTGGCTTTTCCTACTATGTCTGATGTTTTATCCTAAAAAAATGTTAGATTTTGCCAAAAGCTTTTTAATGTCTATTAAAATGATTATATGGCTTTTGTACTTTATTAGTATGTTGTACTTGTTAATTGTTTTAGTTATTAAAGTGAGCTTGTAGTTCCCCTGTCATTAGGTTTTAATTGCAATTATAAATAGTTGCATCATAAAAACAGGGGAAGTACTTACAAGTAGAAAGTCAATTATCCACAATAGAACCTCAAGGATTTTCCAGGACAGCCAGGATGACACTGAGAAACCCTGTCTCAAAAGAGAGAGAGAGAGAAGCAGAAATAATTTCACTGTAGATCAGGCATAGTAATTTATGTTGATAATCCCAGTGCTCAGGAAGCTGAGGCAGGAGGAGTTTGAGTTTCAGGCTCACCTGAGTGGCATAGTGAGGTTGTCTCAAAGCAACAAAATGAAGCAACCCCACATGAGCACATGATAACTGAATGTGTGTTGGTTAATTTGGGCTGTCGATTTGACTTTGATTAAGAAATACTCAGAGGTCTGGGTGATGGCTCAGTAGGTAAGAGCACCTGCTGTATAAGCATGGGGGGTTGAGTTCAAGTACCCGTCTTCCCCAACAAGTCAAGTCTGACTGCCATATCTGTAACCCTGCTTTGAGATGCAGAGACAGACTGGCCTAGGAGCTAACAGGGCACCTAGCCCAGCCAAAAGGGCAAGCTTCAGGTTCAGTGAGATAAACTATCTGGGAATGAAGAGAAGGTGGAAGAGAACACCTTTCTGTGGCCTCCACACAAGTACACACAGGCACATGGGTACACAGGCATATCCAGACTCATATGTGACTACACAGACATGCACCACTAACACCATCCCCATCCCCATGCAACCATCGTGATGATGATGATAACAATACCCACCGAGGACACAAGTAATATACATATATCAAAACTCATCAAGTTATGTATTTGAATATTTGCAGTTTACCTAAGACCTCTTTTTTTTTTTTTTTTTTTTTTGCGGGGAGTGGGTTCGAGACAGGGTTTCTCAGTAGCTATGGAGCCTATCCTGGAACTCACTCTGTAGACCAGGCTGGCCTCGAACTCAGAGAGATCCCACCTGCTTCTGCCTCCTGAGTGCTGGGATTAAAGGTGTATGTCACCACCGCCCAACTTCATTAGAACTCTCAACTGCTAAGCCATCTCTCCAACCCCTCATTAGACTTCAATAGTATTATTGAAAAGATTTTGATGAACTGGAGATATAGCTCAGTAGTTCCCCCCACATACACATACACACACACCAGCATACACAGAGACTGAGTTCTATCCCTAGCACTGCATAAACTGGGTGTGGTGGTTTATGCTTGTAATCCCAGCATTTGGAGAAGAGACGGGTGAAAGAAACATTCAAGGCCATCCTTGACTACGTAGTGAGTTTGAGAGCAGCCTGGGCTACATTACACCCTCTCCCATTCAAAACAAAAGAGGATTCTGTTGAATGAGTATAATAGTTGCGTGCTTCCAGTCCCAGTTTCACACACACACACACACACACACACACACACACACACACACACACTGCACGCACGCGCACACACACACTTCAACCTACCTTTTTTGGTACAGCCGAGCTGGCATGTTTAATGCACACTGCAGGCATCGTCCAATCACAGCATCCTCTCCACCTATCCTGTTGTTATTTCCTCCTTATTGAAACAGTCCCCACTGGAGACAGGCAGGAGACTTTCTAGAAGGTAGTAAAACTTACAAAGCTAAGAAAACTGAGAAATTTTTACCAGATTCACAAGGCCCCTCCCAAAAGGTTATACCAGCCGTGGGTTGCTGGTGAGGGAGGAAGCTGTCCCATGGTACTGCCTGCCAGGTGTGTGGGGGTAACTTCCCTGAGTTGTCACCCATGCTGGGCTGGGCTGGGCTTTTTGTGATTCAGCTGCCTTGAGTCACTTTATGCTTCTGTGTGTCACCTCAGTAAACTCACTGTGCGCGAAGTTAGTCTTGACAGTATTTGCTCACTTGGCTGGTGTTTGGTGTCCTGTCTAGGGAATAGGCTCTCATTGACAGCTTTCCTGGAAACATCACACAATAGCTGTCGGACCCACTTCCTGGTGTTGGCTTTCCCAGGTGGTTTTCCTGTGGTAGCCAAATGGCTGCGGTCCATGTGAGCCTCACATTTAACCTGCCACACCTCTCAGAGCAAACAGGTTTCTTTCCCCGAGCCGTGAGTGAGTCGACCATACCCCTGCTCTGTACCTGAGCCATTCTCAACTCATCTTTAACACCTGACTCCCAACCAGAGCAGCAAGAACGAGGAATACTAGGGGGGAAATGTACGCGCAGAGTGGTCAGCGTGGGAAAGGTTGGCTGAGTGAAATAAAACGGTCTTCTTGAACACAATGCTTAAGCTTTAGGAGCTGTTAAGATGTAGGAGTGTACCATAATGGAAATATGAGAAGCTCAAGGGCTTTTAAGAGTATTTGTGTGTGCGCGCGCGCATGCGTGTGCCATGGAGTATTTGTAGAGGCCAGAGACAACTTGTGGGAGTCAGTTCTCTCTACCCATGTGCATCCTGGGAACTGAACTCAGAGCTGGCAGTAACTGCCTAACCCTGCTGAACCACCTCATGCTGTGGAATATTAGCTGAAGATGTGTTTCATTTGTTTATGCTGTGCAATATTTGTTTAATGCTGCAAAGATGTCTTGTGTGCTTTTATGTTACGTTTGTTTAACTCTGTGAAGCAGTCTTACTTTGCCTGTCTAAAACACCTGATTGGTCTAGTAAAGAGCTGAATGGCCATTAGCTAGGCAGGAGCAAGGATAGGTGGGACTGCTAGGAAGAGAGAATGAATAGAACAGAGAGGAAGGGAGGAGCGAGAAAAGGAGGAGAGAAGGATGCCAGGGGCCAACTACACAGCCACACATCAAGCCAGGAGTAAGAAGAAAAGAAAGGCATATATAGAAAAAGATAAAAGCCCAAAGGTAGAAGGTAGACAGGATAATTTAAATTAAAAAAAAGTTGGCTAACTGGGCAGTGGTAGAACACACCTTTAATTGCAGCACTAGAGAGGCAGAGGCAGGCAGGTGTCTGTGAGTTTGAGACCAGCCTGGTTTACAAGCGAGTTCAGGACAGGCTCCAAAGCAACAGAGAAACCCTGTCTTGAAAAGAAAGAAAGAAAGAAAGAAAGAAAGAAAGAAAGAAAGAAGGGAGGGAGGGAGGGAGGGAGGGAGGGAGGGAGGAAAAGCTGGCTATAAGCAAGCCAAGCTAAGGCTGGGCATTCATAAGTAAGAATAAGTCCCTGTGTGTTTATTTGGGAGCTGGTTGGTGGGCCCCCAAAGAGTAAAACAAACAAACAACAACTATAATCAGGCTAGCCCATGATCAAGGTCTTGAAACAGATACAAGGAAGTTTCTTTTTTTGTTAGTCCTTTTGAACTCAACTCTCCTGTTGCCCCCTCTCTCCCTCATCTAATTCCTGTGTGTTTTAGCAAAGCAACCGAGGAAACCATTGCTGAGGGTTTGACACATCCTAGCAGCATAGGCAGAGAATAACAGTCTTCAGAGCAGGTCAGCACGGCTCCTCCAAACACTAGAGGCCAGAAGTCATCGGGTATGGCGACAATACAAGAAGAGGAAAGGAGGGGATGTTTTGAGGGAGGGAGAAAAATCCCAACAAGATCATTTCAAAGGTAGTTAGATTATCTTGTCCAGAATGTGCTGTTACCAAGTGTAAAACTCCACCGGTTCCATCCCGCGCTCTACTCGCTGCATGCTACGGGAACTAGGCTGAAAATTTAAAAACATACACACACACACAGACGGGGCCACGGGGACATCCTTGAGACAAAAATGTCCACTTTATTGTGTTCATGGGCAGCTTATATAGGGTTCTGGCCACACCCCTGTTCTTAGGATCTCTCAGCTGCAGACTCATCAGAACACACTCTCCTGCCATCAGGGTTTCGGGCTCATGCTCAGAGCAGCTGCAAGCTGCTCAGAGCAGAGGAAAACAAGTTGTTTACAAGAAATTCAGGGTCTGGTGGTCCACAGTCCCCAACAACCAAGTAAGCCTAGAGTTTGAGGGAGAGGAGGGAAAATCTTTGAAAGGTTCTATAATACTAAGTGAAAGGGGCTGGGCAGTAGTGGTGCACACCTTTAATCCTAGCACTCAGGAGGCAGAGAGAGGCAAGTTAAGTTTGAGGCCAAGCCTGGTCTATAGAGCAAGTTCCAGAACAGACTCCAAAGCTACAGAGAAACCACATCTTGAAAAAAAAATAAGTGAAGAGAAACGGCACCTTGGCCTTTAAACTACTGTTCATGGCCGTTTTTATTGCTCTGCTTATTCAGTTTTTGAGTCAGAACCTTGTGTTGCTTAGACAGACCCTGAGGATTCCTCAAAGTCCTGAGGGATCTGCCTCCACCTCCCTATTCCTGAGATCACAGGCCTGGCTAGCTATGTGTCTCTCACAGGAAAATTCCATCATCCCAGGAAATACACAGAGCACATTACCTAGAAAGAACATTCTTTCCTTGTGACTTTCCTTTTTTTCCAAGGGAGGAAAGATTTGTTTTGTCTCATTGTGAGGATAGTCTATATTGTCAGCGTGGTAGCTCATGGCTCAGGGATGGGGACAAGAAGCACAGGAAGTCAGCTCACGTCTCTGTGGACCTGGAAGCAGAGAGAAGCTATAGCTTCTTGTTGCTTTTAATCTTAAAGCAGTTTCTGGGATACCCTATTGACATTTATTTCACATATGTAAGATATAAATATATTACAATGTATGTACATTTTAGTTTATTTTTCAAGACAGGGTTTCTCTGTGTTGCTTTGGAGCCAGTCCTGGAACTAGCTCTTGTAGACCAGACTGGCCTCAAACTCACAGAGATCTGCCTGCCTCTGCCTCTGCCTCCCGAGTGCTGGTGTTAAAAGCATGCACCACCACTGCCCGGCTACATTTTAGTTTAAAAAGTTTTTCTGGGGGGGGGGGGGCTGGAGAGATGGCTCAGTGGTTAAGAGTATTGCCTGCTCTTCCAAAGGTCCTGAGTTCAATTCCCAGCAACCACATAGTGGCTCACAACCATCTGTAATGAGGTCTGGTGCCCCCTTCTGGCCTTCAGGCATACACACAGACAGAATATTGTATACATAATAAATAAATAGATATTTTAAAAAAAAGTTTTTCTATGATGGCAAATGAATCCAGGGCCTCTTGTATGCTAAATTCCTGAGCTACATGCCCACCTCTCTGGCACTTTAAATCGACGGCATATGATATTCTTGGAACAAGTATGGTTGTATATGAGTTCTCTGTCACTATTAATGCTAATTTAAAAGATGTGTTTATTTTTATAGGTGTGCCTGCGTGCACGTATATGTAGCACAAGCATTGGTTGTTCCCTTGTGGGTCAGAAGAGGGTGGAGGATCCCCTAGGACTGAAGTTGCAGATAGTTGTGAGCTGTCTTGTAGGCACTGGGAACTGAATCCAGGTCCTCTGTAAGAGTAACAAGTTCTCCTAACAGATCCATCTCTTCAGCTCCTATCAGTACCTTTTTCACAGAATGATTTCTCAGTGTATCTTATCGGTATTTCCGTCACTCATCCAGTCACACCCACAGCAGACTTCTACTGATTGCTTTAGGATAGTGATTTGTTAAAGATGATGGTATCAGCCCCTTTAGCAAATTAAATAAATGCAGATAGTTACCATACAGCGAACTTAGAGGGTATTTTTAAGATTTGGACAAGAAACAGTCTATAACTAGTGCTGTCTGTAACAGCAATAAAAAAATTGCTGAGCATCTCCTAGGTATCCCTAGTGCCTACCTCTTACTATACGCCTATCTCCAACATGGTCAATATAATGGCTAGCTGTTGTTTGCACCGATGCAGCATCCATGGTCAATATAATGGCTCCCTGTTGTTCGCACCAACACAGCATTCTTTTATGTGACATTGCCCCTGACTCGTCTCTTTCAATTTGGAAACCACTGGCCTCAAATCGTGGTATAGATATAGGCACAAAACTCAGATGGATGCTGAGAACATTCTGTTCCAGAAACATAGGTGAACATGTTGTGTCTTTCCACAAGGGCAAAAGTTATTGAATAATAATAAACTCATAAGCTACAATGGTTTCATTGGCTTCCATCAACCACATGGTCTTAATTTCTCTTGATAGTTGGGTGTTAGCGGACACAAGTTCTTCTATTCCAATCTTTTTAAAAATTCATTTTTAAGAATTCATTTTGTTTTATGTGCATTGGTGTTTTGCCTGCATGCATGTTAGTGTGACCGTGTCACAGATCTTGGAGTTACATACGGTTTTTATGGAGGTGCTTGGGAATTGAACTCAGGTCCTCTGGAAGAACAGTCTGTGCTCTTAACTGCTGAGCTATCTCTCTAGTCCTTTCATTCATTCTTTCTTTTCTTTTCTTTTGTTTTTTTTTTAATTTTTATTTTTATTCTTTGGTTTTTCGAGACAGGGTTTCTCTGTAGCTGTGAAACCTGTCCTGGAACTAGCTTTTGTAGACCAGGCTGACCTTGAACTCACAGAGATCTGCCTGCTTCTGCCTCCCCGAGTGCTGGGATTAAAGGCATGTGCCACCATTGCCCGGCTCCAGCCTCCTTTCTATTCCAATCTTTTTATTTATTTGTTTGTTTATTATGTATACAGTATTCTGTCTACTTGTATGCCTTCAGGCCAGAAGAGGGCACCAGACCTCTTTACAGATGGTTGTGAGCCACCATGTGGTTGCTGGGAATTGAACTCAGGACCTTAGGAAGAGCAGTCAGTGCTTTTAACCACTGAGCCATCTCTCCAGCCCTCTATTCCAATCTTAATTACTAATATTGGTGCTCAGATCATATATTGAATGGTA